CCTCCAACTAGGTCATTAAGCAAACTGATTATTAAGCAAACTGGTCAATAAGCGAGAAGCTTGAAGGCAAATGTCTTGTGGTGTGTCATGGCACCATAGGGTATGTATTGTTCCACAGATACTATGCAACGTCACACTAGAATAATGTAAATCCATCCATACAAAAGTAGACATTAGATAGACGAGACATGCCACACAGTAATACAGATCCTGTGTAATTGTTTTTATTTATTCTGAATATTATCATGGATGCACAATGAAGTACAAATTTATAAACGAAGTATGTAGTCTTGCATGACTACAAACACTTCCTGTAGTGAATACTAACCAACTGTGGGAATAAGACAAAGACAAGAAAGGAGAATCCAAGACACGCACACAAACCAAGAAAGGGGATTCCCCACACTTCAGAACAGTTTAAAGTTCAAGTGATGATTAAATAGGTGGGTCGTTAAGTGAGGAGTGGCTCTATAGCTTTCGAATATTCCAAACCCTACTGGTTCTCCCTACACTTCACTTGTATACTCTGTCCTGTCTAAGTTAACCCTCTCCCATTTCCTTCCTCATCTTCCTCTTTGGCAGGACAAGTTTCTCTTACTGATTTCTTCTTGTAAGGTTTTTGCCATAGAGCACATGCACTTGCTGGAGAGAGACAGAGACAGTGAGAGGGAAAGTGAGAGATTACCTCCCCCTGGGGGGATGGTCATACCTCAAGCCCTCCTCCTCCATTCTCCTCCTGGGATTCTGGGCATGCATGCACACATGCCTCCCGTGATTTTCCAGCCACTGTTTGGGTACTGGAACTGCAAAGTGGGAATCTAGCTCCTTAACCACTAAGCCACCTGCTGGTCCACCTCTTACTCACATTTAAGAAAATTCTGATTAACTTAATTTTAATTAGAAAATTAGTTAGATTAAGCTGATTCAATTAAACTGTAATTTTAGAAAAGCACAATAATGGAAAAACTTGTCTAAATTTCAGAAAACAATCATTCTTTTCCAACTCAATTCTCTCCCCACACTGAACACAGTTTATTTATGTCAACATGTACATATACATGAGAAGAATATGATAGAAAATGGATTTTTCTTCTTGTTTTCTCCCTTTCTTTTTTAGAAATAGAGCCCATATCCTGTCCTGAGTTTTTGAAGCATGATTACTCAGCACGACCAAATAAATAAATAAAAACAAAGTAGTTAACACTGCTTTCTGCAGAAGCTGTGCCTATGGTTGAAGCCCAATTGCTTCTGTAACAACTTTTAAACAGTAAGTGTGATTATTATTCAATCTTTTTCTCAAGAGTCTCAGTTAAGTACTATCAAGTACTACTGGCCTGATGACAGGAGTCAGCTCAGTGGAAGAGACCAGAATAAAGCAGATGCATTCCCACCTGAAGTCATTGTTCCTTCTAGGTTTCAAGGTGGATCCCACTAAATTGAGGGGGAGAGGTATGAACCAGACACAGTGACTGATATGTAAGATGCTGCTGGCTTATGAACTGTAACTGGCTGTGGTTACTTTCACAAGAACTGACTGCAAGCAAATGGACCAGAAACCCGTTTTTGATGAAACTGTCACCAGTACTGTTATTGTCCCTTAGATGCCATAGTAAGGTGTCGTGAATTTGGTTCAGGTGTTGAGACTGGTAATACTATACACACACCAAAAAGCAAATGGTTTATTACTCACATACTGAGACTTCCCAAGACGAGAGAACAGCCTCCCAGGTGGGTCCAGAAATGGATTACCTGCTTTGGTTTTATTGTGCTTAGGAGTGAGGCTGGGGTGAAAGATCTTACATACAGGACAGGGTTTGTGTGATTTGTACTTCCCACAATGGCTGAAAAAAGGAAGGCACCCAGGCTTTCATCAGTTTGCCCAGACACGGAACATAAGGGTATGAAGGGAGGTGAGTTTGACAGCTGTCAGCAACCAAACATCAAACTGCACTTAGTCTTAAGGCAATTAGAGAACTAGAACCCTAGTCCTAAAAGCCAGTTTCTTTAACCCCTGAGGCAATATAGATCTAGAAATCTGCACCAAAAGGCAGGAAACAACAAGAGCTATAATCTCTCAAGTTTCACATTCGACCAGGGAGGTTGATGGGCAAAAATTTGCTAGAGGCCAAATTAGCGATCACAGAGGACAACGGAGTTTCTCCCAGAGGACAGATCAAGCCTTAATCAAGGATACAACTTTCAGCCAAGGCAGAGGGTCTTTGCCAAGTCTACTCAGTAGTCTTTCATCATGGCATGGACCACTGTTTACTGTCCATCAAACTTGTCTTTTACCTTTTAGTAAAAGAATCTTTCTCTTAGAGATTCAGCAGGGCAAATGTCTATTTGGAGATGATAGGTTTTCTTGAAACTTTCTATAACTATGTATCAATAGTGAGTACTCATGAATAGACTGTAGACAGAAGTGACTGGTAAAACATTTTTACAAGGAAATAATTTGCTCCCAACCTCCTTTCTTTTCACAGGCTGGAAAGTGGATGTGCTACTTTAAACTAGCTTTGACCATGGAATGAACAATGCCTTTAATGATGAGAGGACAACAGGTAGATACATCCTGTATCTCTCTCTTCCCCTTTTTTTGTTTTGTTTTGTTTTACCATAGGGCATGTGTACTTACCAGAGAGAGACAGAGAGAGAGAAAGAGATAAGGAAATTGAGAAATCAACCCCCAAGGGACGGCCATGCCCCAATTTGTTCTCTTCCATCCTCCTGTCAGGATTTTGGGTGCATACACACACATTGCCTGGCATGTTTTTCAAACTGCTAGGTCCAGGACTGAAAACACGAAGTTAGCCATATGGGATCCAGCTGCCTTAATCACACCACTGGCTGGCCCTCATGTATCTTAAACATTTTGTGACAGAACTGCCCTACTTGCCCTAGATTTCTCAACTATTTCTAGATTTCTATGAGCGAAAGAAATAAACTTATTTTACATAAGCCATCATATTTTAGGGTATGTCTGTTACAGCAGCTTTGACCATTTGCTGACTTACACAAAAAGAGAATCAAAATGGCTAGAAGCCTCTTTATCTTTTATGACTTTAAAACTCCTTGTTCCTTTGCATTTTATCTTTGACAAGCATAAACAAGGAGTCTCAAATATAACTGGATATATACAAATAAGACCTTAAACCTCTATGTGACCTCATAAATTCTGTGTGTTCCTTTTTTCCAAAAATTAATTTATAGAATAGTTATGTATATTCTTTGCACCTAAATGGAAGCATTTAGTTAATGTAAGTGTGTATCAACCTGATAAATGAAAATTCAGTTGATATATATCAACTTCCCTTTTTCCCCAACACATACATGTGTCCTTGCACTACTAACCTTTGGCCATTCTCTGTATTCAATCAACTACAGTAATTGGATAAGCATAAAGTGAATAGACTCAGCCTTCCACAATGTGATGCAAGGATGCTGATTTTCTCTGATTTGCAGTTTTGTGTGACTGTGCTTCAGAATAGTTCACTGCGTTGCTAAGACAACAAGGAAGCTGCAACAAAAAACTGGGATTGAAGTCAAGGCACGAGCTGCCTCAAAGAATGTCATAAATAGTGTGTTCAAGGACTTTTTCACAGTGAAGCCTGTAACACTAGAATGATTTTTTTTTTTTTAAATCATACTTACCCAACACCCTCCACAGAAGTCTATGGCTCTCCCAATTATGTTCTAAAATTAAGAAAAAGTTGATATGTAAACTAAATGCCAGAAAATCAGTGTTCCATTAATGTGTATCTTTTTTAGAAGCCTGTGCAAATAACTGAGGGGAATTTGCCCTTAAAGTCTGGTTTGTCTTTATTCTCGCAGAAACCTGTCTGAAGAATATCAGAAAAAAAAAAAAGCAAATTATGTCATTAGTCATTTTTCTACTAAAGATGTACATCTCACCTAAACAGAAGTTTGATTCTACATGATAAAAAAAAAATAGAACAAGTTTGCTATTTGCTGAGATTTGTGATGGTTATTTAGAATGCGAGTCTATACGCAGCTGCAAAGAACTATGGTCTCCTCCATGAACTTTGCTAAAGGCACAGCAAGCTCAGCAGCAGCAGTGGAGGTGGAGTGAGAGGGGTTGCCACACTGGGTTTGTCCACGCAAAGTGAAAAGCTGCAGCAATCTTCCTGTTTTAATACCCATAACATCAAGGCAAAGACAAAGGAAAGAAAAACGAAATGCTTGAAGTCATTTTGAACTTTTTTTTTTCTGACCAAAAGGAAGAAATGAAAACAGCATTTAACCAAGATGAAGAGTGTTCTTCACATCATGTACATTTTAGTGCACAGTTATAAAAAAATCACAAACACATCAAAAATAACATAACAGATGAATAAAGGAGCCCAATGCTCTGAGAGCTAAGACACGTCTCCTTCAGAGTCATCTCCCTCTCTTAAGATGTAATCTGGTGGGACCAGCAGTTAGCCTAATGGCTATGTTGCTGGACTCCCACGTAGTCAACCGTGGTTAGCGTCCCAGACCCAGTGGCTTAAAACTCATGCCAGGCGCGTGTGCATGTATGCCCAAGATCCCGAGAGGAGAATGGAGGAAAAGGGATTGCAGTGTGGCCATCCCCCCTGGGGGGTGATTTCTCGCTTTCTGTCTATCTGGCGAGCACACGCGCCCTATGGCAAAAAAACTCTCAAAAAAAAAAAAAAAGAGTAATCTGGTGAAAAATAAGGAATATGCACACAAGCAAGTGTTGGAGGATGTGTCTTCCCACCCTTTGAGGGTCCCTTGGTTAAGACATACACAAGTGACTAGAGAGAAATGTCAGTGCAGTATTTTCTTCAAGCAGGATTCAGAAGTACTCATTAATATTGGAACCTGAGGGTTATACAGTAAAGTCGAGACTTCCGTATCCTCCTTGTCAAATAAAAGTTTAATCTACCAGCATCAAATGGGACCCAGAAGGCCCTCCACTTCTTTTTTTTTTTTTTAAACCCTGGTATCCTAAGCATAAAAAAGGAAATAGAAAAGAACACAGAACCACTCTATTTTAATATTTTTAAGTAGCATAAATCATAATGGTTTGTATACTACACTGTACAAATAATATACTGGTACTTTCAAAAGAAAATGAGCTTCTTATAGGGTGTTCTGAAACGGTTACTCCATAAAGGTGAGAGCTTGACCCTTTAGCCATTGCTACGACACATGGAATACAAGCGAGGAGGTTCCAAGTCTTCCCATTCTGCCTGTTTCTGCTGCCACTGAAGGAGAGCCTCTCAGAGACCTGCTGTGGCCCCTTCTATATTCTGCACCAGGAGACTCGGGCTCTGCAGGTGCTCACACACCCATGAGTGCAGCTTCTGTGCTTCGCTTTCCATAAGCTTGCTCCCTTTAGGAGAACTTGCGCTTCTTCATGGCTTCTGCCTTGACTGCCAGGCTTTTGGCACAGATGGTCAGGACCACGATGAGAACGCCCACCACAAATGTCACCAGGGGCCAGAGGAAGCAATGCAGGAGGACAATCTCATCATGCGTGCGACGCAGGAGCACATCGTCTGGTCTGCAAGACAGGACAGAACAGGGCAGAAAGAGCAGTCAAAGGCCATACTCAACAGCCTGGAACCACACTTCCTTTCCTGCTCAAAGGGAGTAATCATCGCTGAAAGTGAAGACCAACCTCTGACTATAAATACTGTACTTGGTGCTTCAGAGCCATTATGACAAGTTTGGAGCTCTTGAATCAAAAAGTTAGTACAAATTTGCATATTGTTTGTAATATAATTTACATGTGGCAAAAAATGTCAAAAGTGTAGCAATCTCTTATACTATTATTTTCATCCATTTTAAGTTGCTTAATGTATTCCATTTTTCTCTTTTATCTTCTAATGTCTGTTGGTAAAGGAGCTTGAATCAATCTACTGAGGGGTAGATTGTCTCTCCAACAAACCCCAAAATAGAATTCAGCACCTAGATGAGACACAAATGCTCTTAATTCAGAAAAAAAAAATCAGCTAAAGTCACTGTTTGACTAAGGCAGAGGGAGAGATAGTGTAGCCCTCAGGTCAACTCAGCTTCACTTTATGAGCTAGAGGTTGATGATGGTTGAATTGAATGCATTTTTCCATGCTTCTGGGTGGAATTAGCCATCATTTTAAACCATTGACCACTTTCTTGGAAATTTGTAGCAATAGATTTCTCTCCTATCAATGCAAAGCTCTTTTTTTTTTGTTTTTCAATTCCTGCATTGGTTTCAATCACAGGAAGTGAAGACAAGATACACTCCACAAGCCATGATCTTTCTCCTTAGTCACTGGAGAGACATCAAAGGAATTTAGTTCTCATACGATAGGTTTTACATTTTACAAAATATTTCTTTTTCATCCACAGTAAGGTTTGTTTTCTTATACTAGGGTAGCTCTGCTTCCTTCAGGAAAAAAAAAGAAAATAATACAGAGTAATCAGTCAGAGGCCAAAGACAGTGCATTTAACAGAGAAGTGCATTCCTGAGGAGCACTCGTTGCTCATAGCTCTCATGATTCAGGACCTAGTTTCTCAGACAAAGGACGTTGGCTATTTCTCTTTTACCTACAGCAGAGCTGTCATGTGGCATCGACAGAAACAGGTTTGCAGACCAGTTTTGAAATTACAGGAATGCATTACATAACATTTTGGTCAGGGAAAGGCCGCATACATATCCTACTACAGACCCGTAAGAGTATAGCGGAGCTAAAAAATTCCTACGATCTAGTGATGTCATGGCTGTAAATGCTGTAGCACAATGCACGACTCGTGTTTGTGGTGATGCTGGTGTAAAGAGACCTACTGCATTACCGTCTGTGTACGAGTACCAGTCACAGTGGCAGAGGCAAGAGGGCACTGCAGGGTGATACTGCAGCCACATGGAAGCCAGGCCCAGTTTGGATCCTGGGTCAACCTGAACCTGCCAGGCATGCATATGTACACGTGTGATCCTGGCTGGCTAGAAGGCTGTGGAAAGGATAGTGGCACAGCGAGGCCACTGAGGGTATCTGCCTCTCTCTCTCTCATAAAAGAAATAAACTTCTTTTAAAAAGTAGAGGGCACACAATTACGTAGCATGCCTAATACTTGATAATAATTAGTGACTATGTTACTGGTTTATGTATTTACTGTATCTTATAGTGTATTCATTCTATTTTTTTTTAATTCACTGTAAAATAGTGTACTGTAGAAGCTTCACACATCTCATACTCACTGCATTTCTTGATTGCATGATTTTCTCTTGTGCTTAATTTAGTCTTGTGATGTTTTGTTCAGTATGGACCTTCCAATTGGACAAGATGTGGAGGTGGAAGACTGTGCTACTGATGACCGGAGCCAGTGTAGGCCTAGGCGAATGTGTGTGTGTGTTTCTTAGTTTTAAACAAAACGTTAAAATTTTAAAAATAAATAAATAAATAAATTTTCCAGTAGAAAAGCTCATAAAGATATTCACAAAAAGCAATTTTTAAATTCAAGCTGTACAATGTCTTTGTGTTTTAAGATAAATGTTACTGCAAAGGACTCAAAAAAAGTAAAAATAAAGTAAAAATGTTAGAGCACGGTAAGCTAAATTAAGTTGTTATTATAGAAAGAAAAATGTCTTCTTATACATTCAGTGTAGCATAAGTGTGTAGTGTTGATGAAGTCTACAGTAGGGTAAAATAATGTCTTAAATATTCACTCACCACTCACTCACTGACCTCACACCACTCCTAGTCCTGCAAGCCCTATTCACTGAGATTGCCCTACCCAGGTGCACTTTTGGTTTTTTTTAAGTTCACTTTTCTGATTGTTCCATGAGAGAGAGACACAGACAGATAGATACCCCCAAAAGGGTCCCCACCCCAAGTTCCAACCAGCCTGGATCATGAACACACACGTGCATATCTGGCACACGTAAGGAGGTCCTGGGATGCAGACCCAGATCTTCCCTATGGGTCACACGCGCACATACATAGGCTTTTGCAATAGGGTGCATGTGCTTACCAGAGAGACAGAGACAGTGAGAGGGAAAGTGAGAAATCACTCCCCAGGGAGGATGGCCATTCTGCAATCTCTTCTCCTCCTGGGATTTTGGGCACACACATGTACCTGGTGTGAGTTTCAAGCTGCCCGGTCCAGAACTCAACCTGCAGTCGACCATGTGGGAGTGCAGTGCCTTGGTCACTATGCCACCTGCTGGCTCCCCACCTTTGCTATGTTCAGATATGTTTAAACACACAGAACCAGAATGCTATAATCGCCTGGAGTATTCCGTACAGTAACGTGCTGTATAGGCTGTGGCCTATGAGCCACAGGCTACAGCATATGACAGCACAGGTGTGAGGTAGGATATACCAGCTATGCTCTTTGGCATATGCACTTTGAAGCAACCAGAAAGGACACATTTCTCAAAACATATCCCCACTGTGCATAACCCTTGCATTTCTTTTCCTTTGGTATATAATCTAATTTCAAGTATTACACAGTATGTGAGGTATAAATTGGCATGTTAGTCCATAATATTTCAGTTAAGATTTATATTAAGTAAATGCAAAGTCATTGTAACAATTAGGCAAAAATCATCCCAACTTGCAGAAATAATCCTTTTTCAGAATTCTTGTAGCAACAACTGTCTTCAAGACTTGTGCTACCATTAACTTGTGTCTGTGTTTATGCATGTATGTATGCATGCATGCATGTGTGTGTGTGTGTGTGTATAGGTATGGTAGCATTAACTTGTGTTATGAATATATAGGTATGTGTGTGTGTGTGTGTGTGTGTGTGTGTATACATATAGCTATCCTTTCTTCCTGTAAGGCCCACTAGGGCCATGAGTTTCTCACTGCCTGGTACTCCGTACATAGTTGCTGCTAAATAGCTGTTTGCTGCTGATGAAGAGGAGCCTGCTGCTGTTGCAGCCATATTATCCATGCAAATTTTCAAAAAAGCCTCCATGCCTGGAGTCAGGGCATGGGACAGTCAGAGTCACATGTTAGGACTTTGAAATCTTCTGCCCAGCACTGCCATGATTCTTTTCCCGGCTACAGGTGCTCACAGCCAATAGACTCTTCTACTTAACCATACAAGGGAAGGCAGATGCTCTCTCAGGATTATCTTTCTGTCCTACTGGTCTGCTCCTCCAGAATCTATTGGTATAAAGATGAGCCCTAGATTCTTCTTCGAAAGGCATAAGGGTGTAGAACTATGTGAGGTAATTAATACTACTGAACTGTGCACTTGAAAATGGTTAAAATTGTAAAAAAAGAAAAGGAGGGAGAGAATGGATGGGGAACCAAGATTGTTACCACTACTTTAATAACCGTTTGTGCAATTTCCATAGGTAATATGTTTTTGCAATTAATTTTCTAGTAAAATGCTCCAGTATGGATCCTCTTTTGTCGTCCCTTTCTAGTCACTACTACTGATACTTAATCCTTTACCACAATATTGTACACTCCAGGTAGAAAAATCGCTCAGATAAGGGTGGTTGGAACTTCTATAGATACTTTATGAAGTACAGCTGGAAGACATGTGCTGAAAAAGACATGTACTGAGTAAAAAGGAGAGACAACAATAAAAAAGAAAATGCTGGACTAAGATAATTTGTTTTTCTTTTCTTTTTCTTTTTTTGGAGAGGTTTTTGCTATAGGGTGCGTGCACTCACCAGAAAGACAGAGAGAGACAGAATGTAAGCACGAAATCACCCCCCAGGGGGATGGCCACACCACAATCCCTTCTCCTCCATTCTCCTCTCAGGATCTTGGGCATGCATCCACACACGCCCAGCATGAGTTTAAGCCACCGGATCGGGGACTCGAACCATGGTTGGCTACAGGGGAGTCCAGCGACCCAGCCATTACGCTAACTGCTGGTCTTGAGATATTTGTTTTATTCCCCCTACAGAGAGCACATGTGTTCACAAGAGACAGAAAGAGAGAGGGGAGCGGGGGGAAGGAGAAAACACTGGCCATGGGGCACGGCCAGGCTGCAATCCCTTCTCCTTTGTCTCTCCCTCCTTTCAAGCAAGCACACGTGTCCAGTGTGTTTCTCAAGCCACAGGGTCCAGACTCAAACTACACAATCAGCCACGTGGGATCCAGCTGCTTTAACCATCATACCCACTGACTGGCCCTAGATGCTTGCTCTATTCAGAAACTTCTTGGCATTCCACCTTCTGCAAGAGCCTTGGAGCAAAACTTTAATGTTTCAAATGACAAAACAATATTGTTCACTTTGGGTTAGTCATGCTGAATTTGTAATTGCTTGAAAAGCCTTCCTCAAGGTAGAAATATCATATACAAATGTATGCATTTCTTTGAAAATAATTCATGTCTGTTTCCATCTCATGCAGCTCTAAGGTGTCCCTAGTCTCATTCAATAGGGAAAATTTATTTCTCTCTGCACAGCAAACCTTAAGTTCATCATTCTAACACATGATTTACTGAGATAATCTCTAACTTGTTCCTTACGTTCCAATTAAAGTCTGACTCATTCAAACTAGAGTTGTAGTGTCTTAGTTGAAGGCACTCCCTTGCCTCAGTTTCCTCCCATTTTATC